AACAGCGATATGTTTGCAAGTCAGGATGGTGAGTGACTTGGAGGGGAATTTGGAGGTGGTGGTGTTCCCATATGTCTGCTGCCCTTGTCCTTCTGGATGGAAGTGGTCGTGGGTTTGGAAGGTGCTTCCTGAGGATCTTTGGTGAATTTCTGCAGTGCATCTTGTAGATAGTACACACTGCTGCTACTGAGCGTCAGTGGTGGAGGGAGTGAATGCTTGTGGATGTAGTACCAATCAAGCAGGCTGCTTTGGCCTGGATGGTGTCAAGCTTCTTGAGTGTTGTTGGGGCTGCGCTCATCCAGGCAAGTGGGGAGTATTCCATCACACTCCTGACTTGTGCCTTGTAGATGGTGGACAGGCTTTAAGGAATCAGGATGTGAGTTACTCGCCTCAGTATTCCCAGCTTCTGGCCTGCTGTTGTAGCAGTCCTGTTAATGTGGTGAGTCCAGTTGAGTTTCTGGTCAGTAGTAACCCCCAGGATGTTGATAGTGGGGGATTCAGTAATGGTAACACCATTGAATGTCAAGGGATGGTGGTTAGATTGTCTCTTACTGGTGATGGTCATAGCCTGGCATTTGTGTGGCGTGAATGTCACTTGCCACTTGTCAGCCCAAGCCTGGATATTGTCCGCATCTTGCTGCATGTGAACATGGACTGCTTCAGTATCTGAGGAGTCACGAATGGTGCTGAACGTTCTGCAATCATCGGCGAACATCCCCACTTCTGACCTTATGGTGGAGAGAAGGTCACTGATGAAGCAGCTGAAGATGGTTGGGCCTAGGCCACTACCCTGAGGAACTCCTGCAGAGATGCCCTGGAGCTGAGATGATTGACCTCCAACAACCACAACCATCTTCCTATGTGTCAGGTTTGACTCCAACCACTGGACAGTTTGCCCCCTGATACTAATCGATTCCAGTTTTACCAGGGCTCCTTGATGCCACGCACGATTGAATGCAGCGTTGATGTCAAGGGCTGTCACTCTCGCCTCGCCTCTGGAATTCAGCTTTTTTTGTCCATGTTTGAACCAAGGCTGTAATGAGGTCAGGAGCTGAGTGGCCCTGGCGGAACCCAAACTGGGCGTCACTGAGCAGGTTATTACTGAGCACTGTTGATGACCTGTTCATCACTTTATTGATGATCAAGAGTAGGTTGATGGGGCGATAATTAACTGGGTTGGATTTGTCCTGCTTTTTGTGTATAGGACATGCTTGGCCAATTTTCCATATTGACGGGTAGATAACAGTGTTGTAACTGTACTGTAACAGCTTGGCTAGGGGAGCGGCAACTTCTGGAGCACAAGTCCTCAGTACTATTGCCAGAATGTTCTCAGGGCCCGTAGCCTTTGCAGTATCCAGGGTCTCCAGCTTTCCCTGATATCACGTGGAGCGAATCGAATTGGCTGAAGACTGGTATTTGTACCCTCCTGCGGTCTCTGTTGAGTGGGGGATTTGCTGAGCCATGAGGTTACAGATTGTGCTGGAGTACAATTCTGCTACTGTTGATGGTCCACAGCGCTCCATGGATGCCCAGTCGCGAGTTGCTAGATCTGTGCGAAGTCTGTCCCATTTAGCACGGTGACAATGCCACACAACACAGTGAAAGTTATTCTCAATGTGAAGGCGGGATATCATCTCCACAAGGACTATGCGATGGTCACCTTCACTGATACTGTCATGGACAGATGCAACTGCAGCTTGCAGATTGGTAAGGATGAGGTCAGGTATGTATTTCCTTCTTGTTGGTTCCCTCACCACCTGCCGCAGACCCAGCCTAGCAGCTATGTCCTTTAGGACCCGACCAGCTCGATCAGTAGTACTGCTGCTGAGCCATTTTTGGTGATGGACATTGAGATCCCCCACCCAGAGTACGTTTTGTGCCCTTGCCATCCTCAGTGCTTCCTCTAAGTGTTGTTCAACATGGAGGAGTACTGATTCATCAGCTGAGAGAGGACGGTATGTGGTGATCAGCAGGAGGTTTCCTTGCCAATGTTTAATCTAAAACCGTGAGTCTTCATGGGGCCCGGAGTCAATGTTGAGAACTCCCAGAGCAACACCCTTTCGACTGTATACCACTGTGCCACCCCCTCTGCTGGGTCTGTCCTGCTGGTGAGACAGGACATATCCAGGGATGGTGATGGTGGTGTCTGGGACATTGTCTGTAAGGTATGATTCTGTGAGTATGACTATGTCAGGCTGTTGCTCGACTAGTCTGTGAGACAGCTCTCCCAAATTTGGCACTAATCCCCAGATGTTAGTGAGGAGAACCTTGCAGGGTCGACAGGGTTGTTTCTGCCATTGTCTTTTCCGTTGCCTCGGTCGATGCCAGGTGATCCGCCGTGCGGGGTATACAATCCGCCAACAGTCACATCTCTGGAATAAGAGACCAGTAAATCCATGCTGATACCAAGATCCATGTATATAAAGCAGTCGTCCTTCCGACTCTTCAATACGGCTCCAAAACTTTTACTATATAGAGACGCTTACATCAAGGCCCTGGAGAAATACCATTAATGCTATTTGAGATGGATTCTCCATATCCGCTGGGAGAGCAGGCTTATTAACATCAGTGTCCTCAAAGGAACCAATAGCATCAGCTTTAAGGCCATGACCATCTAAAATCACTTCGACTGGGCTGGCTGCTGCCTTAGGATACCGGAGTGCCAACTGCTAAAGCAAATCATGTTTGTTCAGCCTAAGGAAGGCACTCTAATGAGAAGGGGAGTGAGGAAGCACCTCACACACTTCCCTCCAGAAGTACGACACAAATGCCAATGTGTGTGAAATCCTCGTTCAGAAGAAACTGATTGGAGGAGCCTCCTGTATGAAGGGACACAATTATTTTGAGAATACCTGGCAGCGAGAGGAAATACGAGGAAGGAATGCCAGAGATTTCAAGGCCATGGACCAATTCCACCTCCTGGAAACACCTACCAAATGTGTGGTCAGACATGTGGCTCTAGGATAGGGCTCACCAACCACGCAAGGACCTACAGGACCCCCCAACCAGTAACACAAAGTTGACACTCATGAGTGAGTTATTGCTGACACTACTGAATGAGAGAGCAGTGTCTAGTCCGCTGTAACTGTGGCAACTTTCCCTTTTTAATCCCTCAAATTTTGACTAAGTAGTTTACTTTGCAGTAAGTAATATTAAAGCTGATCCTTTGATTCATCCGAAATGAAAACCTATGAACGTTGTCTGTGGTGTTGGCAGCAAACCTGCCTCCCAGATATATGCAAAATGTAAATTCAAACTGTCATTAAGACAGATTTCTTTGTACATTTTTGCTAGGTGTGTTATATGCTGTGGGTGGCTATGATGGGGCATCACGACAATGTCTTAGTTCTGTAGAGGCCTACAACTCAGTGAAAAATGAATGGACCTACATTGCTGAAATGAGTACACGGCGCAGTGGAGCAGGTAGGAAACTGGAAGTTACAATCTACACTCTGAAAATAATTTAATCGGATAAAATATAGAGATGTGGAGAAAAAACAGTGTAATGCTTTAATTCGTAGCTGTCAAAGATCTAGTATTTCAGGAACTGGATGGCCTCCTTCTACTGTATTTTTGTATGATTAGATAAAAGGCAGGAACCACCCCATTATCAGTTACTAACTCATGGAGAAATACTTTATAACAGTACCTTAAAACTCATTCATTTTTTAATTATCTGCAAATAATCATGGGGTGAGACTTCCTCTGTGGTATTTTGGTTTTATAAAATTGATTATACATAGGAAATGACTTTGATGTTTTGTACTTTTAAAAAAAAAAATAAGTTGTAAGCTCCCAGTAGAGAAATTATACATGGTCTTTTCCCTGAGATTTTATTATTTTTGAATGCTATTCAATTTTTAGGGCAACGCTATGATAGAGGTACTAGATGTGCTCTATTTCAGATGAGACTTTAAACTGATACTCCATCTACCCTCAAGTGGATGCAAATGATCCCATTGCACTACTTAGACAGGAGCTAGAGAGTTTGCCTAGTTTCCTGGCCAGTCCTCGTCTTGGCCAATATTCATTTCTCAACATATCTATAATTATTTATCTCATTGCTATTTGGGAGGCCTTGCTGCCTACAAATTGGCTGCTATATTTGTTGAGATTAATTTCCTGTTTACACTTTAAAAGCACTTTTATTCCTTTTGAAGCATCCTGAGACCTTCTGATAGGATGGAAAAAAAGGGCTATATAAATGAACAATCTTTTCTCGCATGCATTGGAGTAAATGACGTGGGATTTAATTTTATTTGCAGTGCAAGGCATCTTACACTGCTGTGTTCTCTAAAGAGCAGTTTTTCATTTTGATCTTTGCCCTATAACATAATAGGGTCCGATCTTGTAATGGTCAAAAATGTTATTCAAACAAGAGGGCGCCAAACTTGTGACCTTGGCTTAATTAATTCTTTCTATACAATTAAAATTAACCTAAAAATGTAGTGGTGGTCAAAGTAGTCAAAATAATGTACTTTGCCTCATTCCCCTCTCCTGGCACCCAAGGTCCTGGCTTAGTTAGGTATTGAGCAAAACTGATTCAAAACAGCAGTAATGAATCCTGCAGATATATGGTGAATTTTGGAGTTACCAGATTTTGGATATCTCCTGACTTTTGACATAAGAGACCAAATTTTTAAGACAATAAGAGGCAAATTGTTTGCATTGTTGTTGCAGGTGTGGGAGTTCTAAACGGTCTGCTCTATGCAGTTGGAGGTCACGATGGCCCACTGGTGAGGAAAAGTGTGGAGATGTATGATGCATCTGCAAATACCTGGAAGCAAGTTGCAGACATGAATATGTGCAGGAGGAATGCAGGTAAAATTGCCCAAGTGAAAGTTTTTTTTTGTGCACATAATGGAGGAATAAACAATTAACCTGTTATTATTTCTGCCTTCTTAACCCCTGGCAGGTGTCTGTGCTGTAAATGGTCTGCTGTACGTAGCCGGAGGGGATGATGGCTCCTGTAACCTTGCGTCTGTGGAATATTACAACCCAACATTAGATAAATGGATACTTCTACCACAGTGTATGAGTACAGGAAGAAGTTATGCAGGTTAAAAACTCAATTTTCTGGCTTTTCCATCTTTGTTTGTGTAGCTGTGTATTCAGCATTGTTTCGATGGTATTTTACAGGCCATTTTGGAGAGTTCTTTCCACAAAATGACCTAGAGTAGCCATTCTACCATGCTCGTGTACAAGCCCTCCCTCTGCAGGTTTAGTGAAGTATTGCATCTTTCATCTTCAGTGTTTTGACACAACAGAGTCAGTTCAAAATTATTTTTCATTTCATACCTTTACTCCCATATTTTTCTGGTTGATAAATGATCCAGATATTTCACTGAATATCCAAGTGGCTGATGTTGGGAAATGTGAACTTCCATCCTTTTTGAAGAGCTACAAAATGAAGACTTTATCACCAGATTTTAAAATATATTTTATACGTAAACATAGGTCTTTGGCCATTTAGATGTTTCTGCAAGTTAAAGGGTTGTAAGATTGATACAATCATTATCCTCCACTAGAGTGGGCAAAACACTGCAGTGAACTTTGCAGATGTCCTGGGACAACAGGGGCATGACTACTTTCTGATTTTTAATTCCCATTTTATGGGAATGGTTGTAGCTTTGGATGTGTTCCTCAATGTGGCATACAGTTTGATGTAAAAGTAAGCACAGCACAACCATGTTGCACTTGCTCTGTGGTTCAGTGTTGAGGCATATTGCCACAATCCACAAAGAGACCAATGAATTTCAAAAAAAAAATTTGGAATTGAACAGAGGATCACACAAGATTTCAGACTTTTATTGTGACAACTGCACTAAAAGCAACATGTGCAAATTCTATTAAGTAGCCATCTTGTACTCTGATATCAGGCAATAAATTCTCCATTTCATTTTTAACAAATTCAAAAATCTACTTTGGTTATTCTTTATGCTGTTCTTAATGTATACTTCATTCTTCGGGAATCAGCCAAGTTATTCCTGGCTCCTGAGACTTGCTTCAGTTCCCTCTCCCAGCCAGATGTCTTCTAATCCCAGAGTTGACTTTCAGTGTGAGGGATACTTTGGAGATTCCTCACTCTAACTCAGGTGAGGCAAATATTCCTACCTGCTTTAGATCCTCTCCAATTAGTCGTCCAAAATTTGAGCGAAGCTCCAACTTGTTTTCTGTTTGGTGACTAAAAGATTCAAGCTTTTTCTAGCTTTCGTGCACGATTGGTTCCCTCCATCGTCCTTCTCTCTCTGTCTCTGTCTGAGAATGTTGAAGACTGTGTCTGTTTTGTGCTAAGAGAGTTTGAGATATCTTTGAAATTCCTCGAATTGATAACTACAGTGCTTTCTATGTCTTTTCCTTTCTCAAAGCTCATCTTCACGAGAATGTGAACCACATAGACATTGTATCTAGGTGGAAATGCTAGTTGCTTATCCTCTAGACTCCCAATTTCACTGTCTCTTGGAATAAAAGTTTGACATTCCTAACACCACTCCCAGAGACTTGGAAACTAACAGGTTAGACACAGTCAGATAATTGCTATTGCCACTGTCTACAGGTGTAACTATCTTATCCCTTCTTCCAAGTATAGGTCCCAGTTTTCTCACAGTACCCAATGCACATAGGTTCATTGTTGGACAGAATTTAAAGCAAGTCACATGACCCACCACCAGTCCACTTTATCTTCAATCCAATATACCATCCCAAGATGTAACAATCATGAATGTCATAGTTGTAACCAAAATTAAAATTTTAAGGGAAAAATCAGCCTTTTCTCTGAAACTGTCTATACAGTGTCATGTATTTTACGACAAAAGGTAAGATCTGTACCACTGTTTCACTCATGAGCATTAATCTTGTAAGATTCTAGTTTTTGCCATTTTCCATAAATACCAGCTTTCAACAATAATTATTTAAATACAACTGAAATAGAAATAGGTCATGGAACAGCTGTGGCAAACAAAAGGTAACATTTCCAGTTAATGAACTTTAAGCAGAACTGCATTATTTATCTTTTTTAAGATTTTAATTATACATTCTACTTCAGTGAATCTCCAGTGCAATCATATCTTTCCTATAGCGCAGTGACCAGAACTGCGTACAATACTCCAGTTGTGACGTAACTAAAGTTCTATACAGCTTCAACATGACCCCCCTGCTCTTCTAATCTGTGTCACTATCATTCAGCATGCCTGTGTTGTCTCTTTCTGATAGTCTAACTTCCCCACTCTTTCCCCATGTGCGTACATACAAACTAAGAGCAGAAATTGACCGTTTGATTCTTTCAGCCTGCTCCTCCATTCAATAAAATCATGGTTGATGAGTTTGTGTTTTGAATTCCGCATTCCCACCTACACCTGATACCCTTAGATTAATTCCATTGTCTAACAAGAATGAATCGCTACTTTAAAAATATTCAAATATTCCACCTCACCAGCTTTTTGAGGTACAAGAGTTCCAATGTTTGTCATGACCCTGAGTGACCACTAGTTTTTAAACAGCGCTGCTTAGCTCAGGACTTGCCAAGAAGAGGAACCCTCCTTTCCATACCCATCGTGCCAAAGACCATTCAAGATCTAATTGAATTCAGTCAAGCTACCCCTAACTCTGAAACTCCAGTGGAAACAAGCCCAGTCTGTCCAGCCATTCCATTCATAAGATAACCTACTAATTACAAGTATCAATGTGGTAAACCTCCTCAGAACAGCTTCCAGTGCATTTATATATTCCTTAAATGAGGAGACCAAAACTGCACACAGTAATTCAAATGTGGTCTCACCAATGCCATGTAAAATGAAACTGTAATTTTTAATGATCTTATCCAACAATTTTTTTTTTCTTATTCACTTTTGCGAGGTATTATTGGATCTGTATCCACCATTCTTACAGGCAGTTAATTGAATCTGGTTATTTGATTTGATTAGTTGAGAGAACAGATTTGTTTCACAGCTAGTTCCTAGAGACATAAAAAGCTTCTTCGACTCATGAAAGTAACTGATCCTAATGTATAGTTTTGAACGAGAATTAACACATTCTGGGTTACAATTCCCGAACATTCAGCATCGATGATCTGCTGAATGTTTTATACAATGCCAGTGACACAACAGTAAGCTTACATTAATGGAGGCTAAGATTATGGATCAGTGTTAATAGTGTGCTGGGATTTTTTTAATACGTTGAATCTTCAGTTTATCATATTGGGGATATCATGATGTATAGGTGACCAAAATCAAAATTAAGCGGTTCTGCAGAAGAGCCATACTGAAGTCAAAAGATTGAACTCTTTCTGTCTCCACAGGTGCTGCCGGACCTGCTGAGTTTCTCTAGCATTTTCTGTTTTTGTTTCAGATTTCCATTCTTGTCTACAACTATAATTAATTCTGGCCAAATTCAAAGAGATGAAAAAAACAGCGTACATCATTGTGCCTGAAGACATTACTGAGAATAAATGATACATTTTCAAAGTGTATGCAGTAGTTTGAATACATTTACAAAGCAGAGCAAAAGTAGTTAGGAGACAACAGTCAAAGGGAACTAGAATGTAGAAGTGAGGAAATAACCATTATTAAATAGTTATTTGTTATGTGCCATCTTTTTAAGAGGACAAAACAACATTGCTTTTAAAAAAAAATTGTGTACAAGATGATGAGAGGCATGGATAGAGTGGATAACCAGAGACTTTTTCCCAGGGCAGAAATGACTATTACGAGGGAGCATAAGGTAGGTTCTTTACACAGAGAGAGGTGGATGCATGAAATGCGCTGCCAGTGGTGGTAGTAGAGTCAGATACATTTAAGCGACTCTTGGTTAGGCAGATAGATGATAGTAAAATGTAGGGTATGCAGGTTAGTTTGATCTTAGAGTAGGATAATAGGTCGACACAACATCGTGGGCCGAAGGGCCTGTACTGTGCTGTACTGTGTGTTCTATGTTCTAAAACACCATTGCCTGTTTGGTTATTGAGTTTCCAGTGTCAAAAGAGCGATCATCAGCTCAGTTGGTTAAGTGTGCGTTGTAGGACAGTGCCAACAGCAGAGTTTCAATTCCCATATCAGCTCACTAACTCTTCGAGCCTGCCTCTTTATCTTCGCAATCGTAAAATCAAGGCATAGGTATGGTTAAGTGAGCCTTGGGCAATGAGGATGTGACATGAAGAGAGTGAAGAAAGACAATTAGTTAGACAGTTTGTAAATAAGTTAACTTCATTGACATCTAAGCATTTTTTGTAACAGTATACTCAACAAATACTTGATCCAGAAGATCCGCACCTATAAGTCTTGATTGGGTGAAAGTTAGTGAAGCTTTAAACTGACATTTTTCGAAGTGTATTAAGTTCAGACACACACGGATCAGAAAGTAGCAATGATTTTGTCATAATTTCAAATTCCATTTCAATGAAATCAAAAAGTAACACTCGTAAAGATGTCTATCTTTTCCTCCTCATTACAGGTCATAACCAAAAAATTCACTGATTTCTGTTTTGCGCCCAGGAATTGTAGACCCATGTATTTAATATCTGTTCTGAAGGAAATCTTGTGTTTTCAGAGAATCACTGTCAAGTTGGATTTTGTTTGAAATTTTCAATTTGCTCAATTCTGTAAAGTGGAGTTGCAGTTTTGTTCTTCAATTTCCCAGTGAAAGCATCATGTGCTAATGTTACAGCATGACTTCAGCCAAGTATTTTACAAAGTGTTGGTACTAATCCTAATACTCTGTGTGAAGTACATGTTCCTTGTCTGCAGGATCAGGTAGCTTTTCCAGCTTCCTTTCCCTAGGACAGAATGTTACGACAACAACTGGGCTTACCCACTTTATCCTTATCCTTTGCTCAAGCAAGAATATTGCATGCATGGCTAATTTCAAATTTCTATGAAACAACTTTTGTTTTGATCACAGGATTATAACTAATTGTTTCTCTCTATTTCTAGGTGTTACAGTAATTGACAAACCTTTATGATTAAAGAATGCTGGAAAAGTTGAATACTGGATTCTGCATTGAAATGGTATTTCATGAAGTAGCTCAACTTTTTAGCACTTCTTTGATGACCACATTAGAAGCAAGCATTTAACGCAGTGTGGAAGAGGGCAGACAACTATGTCTTGCCAGCAAGAATGGAAGATTAAAATGATTGCACTTGATGGAAGCACTACATGGAAAGGGGCTACATTACAGCTTTTAGCAAGTAGTGTTGGAATGGAGCCTTGAAGCATAAGATTTGAAAAACAAAAGCTGCTATAGAAATACTGACATATGTCAGGCAAGATTGATTTGTGCCATGTGAAACAAAGCAACACTTTGTTCTGGACACTACAGTTAATGGCTTCATAAAACTCGTGAATAGCAAACAGAGTAATGGTTACAATTGTATAGTGGCAAATAAACTGGTTCCATATGTCTGACTATGGAGATTGATGTGTAAGTTGCCAACAGTTACATTTTGATTACAGGACCATAATTTTGTCTACCTTTTGCTGTTGTCAGCACTTGACTCAAGACTTGTTTGAATATTTAATTTATTTTTGATTTGGTATTGAAAAAAAAACACAGTAAAGAGTGATAGTATTTGTAGATATTGAAAGTTTAACACTAAGTTATGAATCGTGGAAGGAAAAAAACTACCAAAACTTTTAAATGCATTTTCAATTTTTAAGTGATGCAACCAAGTGAGTACAGGCTGGTTTTGAAATGTATGTTTGTTATTTGTTTCTATTAAGTCATGATCATGTTTTGATGCATTTCTACTTTTCTGTGACTCTTGGTTTACTTAATATTGTTCTTAGCATGAAGAATAGTGTTGTAAGTTTACATTATTAATTGGAATGCATTTTCCCTGAATTGCATGTTGAGTTGCCAATATTCAGTATAATTATTGTACTGGTTACATTTTGCTGCTTTTCTTTGAATAACACTTGCCAGTTATGTTTAGTGTTCTGCTTAATTGCTGTAAAGAATATGAACACTGAAGAATTTATTTGCTTGGCGGTGGAGAGAGTACAAGTGTTTCTGCATTATTCAAATTGTTTAAATAAAAATTTTTACTGTGTTTAATTGTAAATCTCATTTTTGAAGCAAATAGGATCATTTTTTTCTCGAAATTTAAAGATATTAAGGATAATTGAGAAAGATGGGTGATTTGATATGAAGTGGTTAAGTATTCATGTGGCAACATTGTATATAATTCATGGTAGAAAATGTAAATTTGTAAGGGCCATTGCTAGAAAATCTCAACTACTTTGAGGTTGTTGACATGCTCACTGAGCTGGTTTGTTTACGTTCAGATGTTTTGTCACCATGCTAGGTAACATTATCAGCGAGGCCTCTGATGAAGCGATGTTGTTCTACTCTGCTTGGAATTTATACTGCCTGGTCTGTTATGGTGAGTAATGTCATTTCTGGTTTTGTTCTGTATGGGTTTGTATATAGGATCCAACTCTATATATGTTTGTTGATTGCATTATGGGTTGAGAACCATGCTTCTAGGAGTTCCCATGCTTGTCTGTGTTTGGCTTGGGCTACTATAGTTATGTTGTCCCAGTTAAACTGATGGCCTTCATTGTCTGAGTGTACTGATATTAAGGAAAGTTTGTTGTGTTGTTTTGCTGCTGTGCTAGCTGATGTTCATGTATTCCGATGGCTCGTTTCCTTTCGGTCTGTCTGATGTAATGTTTGTGGCAGTCATTGCATGGTGTTTTGTAAACTACGTTGGCAAAGGACCTACAACGGAGACTGAAACACCGAGTCAACGGATCACCCCATTCCATCCACTCAACCCAAGAATTCCTCAATACCCTCAAGAACATAAAAATCAGCAACGAGGTTATGGTATCTTTTGACGTCACAGCATAACTCATATCAATTGACATCCCACTAGCCAAAGAAACATTGGCCACATTACTAGAGGAAGCAGAAATGCAGACCAGCAGCTCCATCAGCAATGATAACATACTCAAACTACTGGACTTGTGCCTCACCACACACTTTCTCTTTAAACAGTCAAGTATACAAACAGATCAATGGTACACCCATGAGGTCACAAATCTTGGGACTCATTGCAGAGGCAGTCACACAAAGACGAGAACACTTTACCCTCCACCTCATTCAACCTAGACTGTGGATCTGGGATGTGGACGACATATTTGTCATCATTAAACGCAGCAAACTAGAAGAGACCCACCATCTCATCAACAACATGTTCCCTGGGAATAAATTCACAAGAGAAGTAAACAACAATCAGCTTCTGTTTCTGGACATCAGAGTTGAACGTATGACCAATGGGGAGTTCCAAACCTCAACATACAGGAAAGCAGTCTACACTGACCAAATCCTCAACTTCCACAGCAACCACCCCAACGTCCACAAACCAAGCTGTGTTAGGATTCTATTTAAACAGGCCACTATTCACTGCAACATGCTAGAACTACACAGGAAAGAACAGGAAAGAGGAAGAGCACCCATACAAAACCTTTGCTATGTACGGATATCCCTGCAACTTCATCCGCAGGTACCTACTAAACAGACAACAACAAGAGGACACAGTATGCCCTAACACAATGGCCACACTGCCCTAGATCAAGAACATATCAGAACTGACAATGAATCATGGTAGCACACAAGCACAAACGCCCACAGCCATGCTACGACAAACACTCACAAGGATTAAAGACCCCATTCCCACAACATGCAGAACCAACATAGTTTACAAAATACCGTGCAATGACTGCCACAAACATTACAATTGGACAGACGGGAAGGAAACTAGCCATCGGAATACACAAGCACCAGCTAGCAGCAAAATGACAATAAACTTTCCTTCATATCAGTACACTCTGACAATGAAGGCCATCAGTTTAACTGGGATAACGTAGCCCGAGCCAAACATAGACAAGCTCGGGAATTCCTAGAGGTATGGTTCTCAACCCATAATGCAATCAACAAACATACAGAATTGGGCTCCAAATACAAACCCATACAGAACAAAACTGGAAATGACACTACTCACCATAACAAACCGGACAGTATAAATTCCCAGCGGAGTAGAACAACATCGCTTCATTGGAGACCTCACTGGTGATGATACCTAGCATGGTGACAAAACATCTAAACGAAAACAAACCAGCTCGGCGAGCAAGTCAACAACCTCACCCACAACCTGAGCTACAAATCTTTGCTAAAACCTTAAAAATCTCAAATACTGTTTATTTTAACTGCATATTTTCTTTCTATCAGGCTAATCTTGAATATTTGAGGAAACTCACCATTGTGCTTCAGTGCCATCTCCAAACTACACTTTTAAATGCCATCAGTATGGAGTTTCTATATATTGCAGATACACAGCCACTTACTTTGGGATCACACTCAACCACTGTAAATCTGTTGAACATGATTGTCAAGAACCGGGGCTGAAGACTCTCAAATGTGTGCAGTTTAGGGACAACAAAACTGCAAATTATGTTTACATTTTGGGGAATAATCTTTTTATTTCTCAGATTTAAATTTTATTTCTAATGCTTTTTTTCTAAATAAAGATCGTCTAAACAAAACTAAAATTCTAAAGAAACTTCAAGAACATTATTTTTAAAAAATAATTTATTAACACATTGGAATATTTTCATGAGCATCTAAACAGTGTTTTTGGGTCTGTGCACAAATTAGAACTGCTGCGACAGTACAACATGATCTGACTTTCTAAAATTCAGAAGTTCAAAATTAAATGTTTAGCAGCAGTGAGTATAAAAGTTGGCAAGTCATGTTGCGGCTGTACAAAACTTTAGCCAGGCCACATGTGGAGTAGTGTATGCAATTCTGGATGTGGAGGCTTTGGAGAGGGTCTAAGAGAGATTTACCAGGATGTTACCTGGATTGGCATGTATTCATTACAAGGAGAGGTTGGATAAGCTTAGATTGTTTTCGTTAGAGTGGAGGTTGAGCAGTGTCCTGGTAGAAATATATAAAGTTATGACAGGTGTGGATAGGGTGGATTGAGTCATACAGCATGGAAACAGGCCCTTCGGTCCAACTCATCTGCACTGACCAGACATTTATATCTAACCTAGTCGCATTTGCCAGCATTTGACCTAGATCTCTTTAAACCCTTCCTATTCATATACCGATCCTGATGCCTTTTAAATGTTGTAATTGTACCAGCCTCCATCACTTGCTCTGGCAGCTCATTCCACATGTGTACTGGGATAGTTAGAATTTATTTCGCCAAGGTGGAAATACTAAATACTAGACAGCATAGTTTAATGTGAGAGGGGAAAAGTTTAATGGAGATGTGTAAGGAAAGTTTTTTACACACAGGGTAGTAGGTGCCTGGAATAGGCTGCTGGGGAGCTGGTAGAATCAGATATGCAAGCAATGTTTGAGAGGCATTTAGACAGCCATGTGAACAGGCAGGGATTAGAAGGATATGGACCATGTGCAAGCAGATGGGATTACTTTAGAATGGCATCATGATTGGCACAAACATAGTTGGGCCAAAGGGCCTGTTCCTGTACTGTTCTGTCTGTGTTCAAAGCAACCTCCTCGTGAAAGTAACTCATTTTTGGCTCAAGCTTGTTATGAATGTTAGCTGTGAGCAGTTGATAGCACGGGAGGTAGTGACACCTGAAAACAAAAGACAAGTTGAAGCAGTCACTGTGGAGGTATATGTTTTTCTACTAAGATAATTATCTAGCGTTGTGCAAGTTCTTTATAATTTGGAATAACAACTGAGAGGGGTGGCTTTTCAACAATTAGTTCCAACAAGTACCATTCACCATTGATTGACAGACTTGTTATCTCTATGCCCACAACCTCATTATAAGCAGATCTTCAAAGTGATCTCTAGCTGGCCTGGTCTCCATCTAATTACTATGATGATAATTGTTCTGCTGTTCATTTTACAATGTGACCAAGTTACCTTTACAAGTGTTCAAATTAAGAGTCATTTGTTCAGTGAAGCTGGAGCTAGTATAATAATGGGCTTTTGACACAAGGTATGGATTTGTGAGGAGGACACAAATATTCTGTAAAGGGATATAGACAGGTTAAGTGAATAGGCAAAAAAGTGGTAGATTAAGTATAAGAGGTGACTTAATAGAGACATACAAGAGACATCAGAGTATTAGATAGGGTGGACAGCGAGAGCCTTTTTCCTCGGATGGTGATGGCTAGCACGAGGGGACATAGCTTTAAATTGAGGGGTGATAGATATAGGACAGATGTCAGAGGTAGGTCTGCAACAGTAGTAGACTCACCAACTTTAAGGGCATTTAAATGGTCATTGGATAAACATATGGATGATAATGGAATAGTGTAGGTTAGATGGGCTTCAGATTTGTTTCACAGGTCGGCGCAACATCGAGGGCCGAAGGGCCTGTACTGCGCTGTAATGCTCTATGTTCTATGAGGAAAATGAGGTTGAGCACTTTGGGTACAATAGAAAAACAGTTTATCAAAATGGTGAGACTTGCAGAATGCTGTGGTGCAGAGGCATCTAGGTGTCCTTGTACATGAATCACAAAACCTTGGCATCTGGAACAGCAAATAATTAGAAATCAAATTGAATATTGGCCTTTATTACCTGTGAAAGGGGTACAAAAATAGGAAAATCTCGTTACATATGTAGAGGGCATTGATGATTTAACACTTGGGGAAAAGTCTGTACAGCTTTGGTTCCTTTATTTAAGAACGGATATACTCGTATTGGAGACGTTTATTCACCAGGCTGATTTCAATTTGAAGATTGATTAATGGGGAAAGATTGAGCAGGCAAGGCTTATGCTCATCAGAGTTTAGATGTATGTGGTACTGTTACTGAAACATGTTAGACTGAGCGAATTTGGCAATCTAGGTGCTGAGAGGATGTTTCTCCTCTTTTGTTTGGTGTGTGGAAGTAGGCAGAGAGAATGTAGAACGCGGGATGCAGTTTAAAAACAAGGAGCCTTCAATTTAAGATTGAGATGAGGAGCAAACTGTTTGAGAAGATCACAGAATTTTCAGTTGCCCAGTGCAGAGAAAGAAGAAAACCAGCTTCTCCTGTTCTGTGCTAGAGATAATAGGAACTGCAGATGCTGGAGAATCCGAGACAACAAGGTGCAGAGCTGGATGAACACAGCAGGCCAAGCAGCATCATAGGAGCAAAAAGGCTGACGTTTCGGGCCTAGAC